AATAATAGCTGATTCATTTTTTCGCGGCCCTGTTGTCGGCAATTCATTTCGCATAAAAACCCCTCTAAAGTTAGAAATTTTTAAGTCTTTAACATACTTGAGCAACTCAAAGTCAGTTAGTGCTCGTTTAGGAAGTATCAAAAAAATTTTTTTTTGAACACTTTTTTATTCCTTGTCCTCTTTGATAGGATTTCAAATGGAGACTTTTACCAAGTGCAATATCTTCCATTGCTTTATTATGGCGATGAGCTTCTTTTAATTTATCTTTTGCTGCACTTGCACTATTTACAGCTTTTGATACACCTGCTACACCTCCAGTAAGTGCTCCAAGAGCGCTTAATCCAGCAAAAATTGCAATTAATGGTAGTAAACCCCCAATTTTTGAGGGTACAGGCAAGATGCGCGGTACTAAAATTTTCTTTCTTCCTCCTGCATTTTTAACAGCTTTCCGAGCAGTTTCAATGGCACTTTTAATTGTTGATTGAGCATCATTACCAGGAATTATGGATTTTCTAGCTGCATCTACAATTTTTCTTAGGGCAGTTAGTTTTTTAGAAGACATATTTTTTTTCTTCCTTCCACCCAAGCTTAATTTTGACTTTCTCTTTCTCCTAACTCCCATACCCAATTTTGATTTAACTTTCATAGTACCAGATATAGCTAAAGCAGCAGCTTTTTCACCTAAACTGGAATTGTTTGCTGTAACACGTTCCCAAGCCTTTTCAGCTAAAACTCTATCAGCAACGTTTCTTGCTTCTACGTTTTCTCGATTTTTCGAATATGAGATATCGTGCTCCTTACAAGCGGCGTCCAGAAGATTAATACCCGGATCACCTTTTTGTAGACGTTTTGCTAACTTTGTGCCTGGTCCACAATATTGATAACCAGGCAGATGTAATTCAAATGGTAACTTATTTATAAGACTATTGACTAAACCTTTCCCTCGAGAGCGATGATGAATAATCATATCTTACTCTATAAAAGTTTAAAATAGAATGACTGAAAGGTTATATAAGCGCTGCATTTATACCTTTTACAACAGTCTACATCAGGATGCGATTCAAGGAACAACCTAATAAGCTGCCAGTCGTAAATCTGGACTCAATTGTTGAACAACAAGAGAAGAAAGTTAAGCGTCATGGTAGTTTATTATCAGGTAGTATTCGTGCAATTTTCTGTGGCCCATCAAATTGTGGAAAAACAAATGTATTACTATTTCTAATTCTAGATCCTAATGGTCTCAGATTTGACATCATTTACTTATACTCAAAATCATTACAACAATCAAAATATAAGTTCTTAGAACAAGTTGTGAGTAACGTTGATGGAGTTGAATATTTACCATTTAGTGATCATGAAGAAGTAATTGCTCCTAAAGATGCAAAACAAAATTCAATATTTATATTTGACGATATTGCTTGTGAAAAGCAAGACAACGTAAGGGCATTCTTTTGTATGGGTAGACATGTTGACGTTGATTGTTTTTACCTCTGTCAAACATATGCTAGAATTCCTAAACATTTAGTACGTGATAATGTTAATTTATTAGTCCTTTTTCGTCAAGATGAGAAAAATTTAAGACATGTGTATGATGATCATGTTAATACTGACATGACATTTAATCAATTTCGAGAGTTATGTTCAACATGTTGGAATTCAGACAAATATGGCTTTGTAGTAATTGATAAAGATTCTAATTTAAATGATGGAAGATATAGAAAAGGATTCGACAGTTTTCTAGCACTATAAATACACGATAATTTTTAAAATAGTATTAATGTTGTTTTAAAACTTGAAATATCAACATGTTTCATAAAGAGAAAGAGTATCTACGTCAAATTGCTAAAGCTAGTGAGGCAATTAGACGGAAGCATCGTATGTTGAAATTAGGGAAGGAAGCTATTGAAAATGTTTTGAATGAAACCTTTAAACCAGTAGTTCAACCTTTACAAAAAATTATTAACTTGACAGATTATAAACGTCTTCGATTACTTATGGCATCTCAAGGAGCTGGCAATACTAGTCATAATAATGAAATTATGTCAATTATTGAGGAATTACGTGAGGCTAAAATCATATATTAAGGTGTGCTTTAGTAAATGTCATTCATTTCAATAATGAGCATTGATCTGTTCGGACATCCTCTCAGTCAAGGAGGAACAGTAATAGCAAGACGTGGACCTACTGTAGTTGGATTTAAAGTTAATTCAAGTGGACACTTTGATATAGATAATAAAAGACTTTGTAACGTTAAGGACGCTGAAGAACTGCATGATGCAGTAAATTTAAGACTTGCACAAAACATTGTAAAAAACGAAATAAAAACTATTTTCCAAGTTACGTCATCATTAAGAGTCATAGATATTTTATCCAAGTATGCTTGGGCTGTTCCAGTAAAAAGTAAAAATGGAAAAGATGTGACTAACGCAATGAAATTCATATTTGAAAAAGGACGTATTCCAAAGAACCTTCATTCCGATAAAGGTAAAGAATTCTACAATTCTCAATTTGAAGCTTTAATGAAAAAGTACAAAATTAATTTTTATTCAACATACAGTAACTTGAAAGCATCTATTGTTGAAAGATTTAATAGAACACTTAAAAGGAAAATGTGGATGCAATTCAGTTTACGAGGAAATTACAAGTGGTATGATATATTACCTAACCTCATTTCTACTTATAATGACACAAAACATAGAACAATTGGAATGAAGTCTAAAGATGTTACTGCACAACATGTTGATATTTTAAAAGATCGAATCTCGAAGCTCAGAAAAATTCCGTTAAGACGATCTAAATTTAAAATTGATGACAAAGTGCGAGTTAGCAAATATAAAAATATTTCCGAAAAAGGTTATACTCCTAATTGGACTACTGAAATATTTACAATTGATAAAGTGGAATTAACTCAACCTGTGACTTACAAACTCAAGGATTACCAAGATCAACCCATCAGTGGAGGATTTTATGAAGAGGAGCTTTTAAAAGTGAAATATTCAGACATTTATCTTGTTGAGAAAATTCTCAGGACACGTGGAAACAAAGTTCTTGTCAAGTGGCTTGGTTTTGATAACTCTCACAACACTTGGGAAGACAAAGCAAATGTATAATTTATAGTTAATGTTAAATCAATGTTGAATCAATGTTAAATCAATGTTGAATCAATGTTGAATCAATGTTGAATCAATGTTGAATCAATGTTGAATCAATGTTAAATCAATGTTAAATCAATGTTGAATCAATGTTGAATCAATGTTAAATCAATGTTAAATCAATGTTAAATCAATGTTGAATCAATGTTGAATCAATGTTAAATCAATGTTAAATCAATGTTAAATCAATGTTATAATGTATATATGTAAGGAATTTTTAAATAAAAAACACATGAAATTAAAATACAATTGTTCTATTTATTTCTTTTATCACAGCCTGTTACATCCCGAGCTAAGGCTTGGTTTTTAAACAAATAATTAATTTATTTACTTGGGAGGGTTGTGCTGATTAATCAGGATGGTAAAACCTGATATTTTTATTTTGTAGGATCGTTGTCACTTCGTAAAGACTATGGGTCTTGCGTTAATAAAAGACAAATATTCCCTTTTATAATAGTTTATTATAATTATGATTTAATAAAATAAGTTACATATATGATTACTCACTTTTACGAGGAAGATTCGTATTTCAATGAAGTCGCTGAGTTGTTATACAAGAGCTTGGAATTTGCTTAAGTGAATGAAGATATAGCTTGTCGGTTCACACTTGTGTGACACAACTTTAATGTTTTTGATAATAAGCGTAATATTTCGTGTTACAATTCGTTGTATTACGTCACTTACACCTGCATAAGAAGGAAGTCTATTCTGAATGTGAAAGAGAAGCAACTTGTAAATTATAATCAAGAATCTGCTTTATTTTATTGTAATATTACGACAGTTAAATCAATGAACTTATCTATTCTAAATGTTAAATTGTAGTTTCTTGCACCTTTTCAGGAAAGAAACTATTCTAAGTGAAAAACAATTTAATTTGCACCTTTTCAGGAAAGAACTATGTTCTAAATATTAATATTGCTTCTCTTGCACCTTTTCAGGAAAGAATTCGTTCTAAGTGAAACACAAAAACTTGCACCTTGTTACAGGAAACAATAGATTAACTTTCACGAAATAAACTGAAGGGTCGCTCAACAATGATATTAACCACGGAGATTACACCGGAACTTTTGACATCTTCTCTTAATTTGCAATGGGTTTATATACTAGTCAATTCATTACTTTGTTGGGGATGATTTAGAAAAAGAGCACGATTTTTGCTAAAACGTTTAAGAGCACGTTTTTAGCTAAAACGTTTAAGAGCACGTACGAATTTTCTAGGAATCGTATGTGTCTTTTATTTCATATTAATTGAGCGACATTCAGTTTATTTGATATCGATATTGATCATTGATATTAGATTGTTAATCCATAATTATTTAAGCAATTTATGCATTTAATCAGTGTTTCTGTTTGTTTTTAAGAATAATTACATGCATATATTTTAGTTTTATACGTATATGTGGACATGCATATGCATTGCACACGTGTTCTTTAAGATGCATCATTATTTCTTTATTAATTCTTTTACTTTACTATCTGTCATACCGACTTTACTATGATAATAGTTATGTCGATTATTTATCATCTCTCAAGATAATGAATGAGATGGTAACATTTCGTTAAAAGAACTAGTTGATAATTTAAAATATTTAAATAATTAGGTATATGAATGTTATATTTTATAAGTGTACATTCAAATATACTCATATATATGTATACACCTTTTATTCAAATATATAACTACTTAATATACGTGGATCTTAAATGCAATCGGTATTGCCTACGAAAAGGGGCTATTAGAAAATTCGTGTAACAGTAGATTTATAATTAAAATGGAAAATTATATATGTCAGGATGTAACACAGCCTTTACATTTCCCGACATTTTTTTCTCGAACTTATCAACTATTTACAAATTGTCGAGATTTGGGATCGCATAGTGACCCCACGGTAGAGTATCGGTACTCCCCTGTAACAAATACCGCTTGTCGTCTTGCGGACTTAAAGCTACTTTAACCTGCTTCACAGTTTCAAGATTGTGAAGCCGCGATCGAATATTATATTGTGTTCGAGTTTGAATGTCAAAATCTCGCAGACATTTTACATAATCATCAAATTGAATTGTCTTTTTAACAACGCCGGCTTTAACACCTTTAGCTTTTTTAATAAAATCTTTATCTTCGACGCGTACACTGTACATCTTACTCCGCAAGCCAACAAATTCAGTTACAATTCTGCCGTTGCACTCATCTTTCATGAGGCCGAGGACTTTTTTGTTGACTTGCGGAATATCATAGACGTTATTCGCGGGATAATCAGATGTATCAAACTTGTCAATATCTTTTTTCATGTCTTTGTAAATATCTTCACACTTGATTTCGTAGATAAGACTGTCTGTATCGGTATACAGCAGTTTACAAGCATCGCCGTATTTTTTCAACATGTGACCATAATGGAAATCGTAAATTAGCGTCTTAGATATATCAAGCACACTTAACCCTACATAGATGGGTTTGTTGAGCAGTACCTCGACTTTGCGCAATTCAATAGCAACTAGATTTTCGTCGAAAATCGCTCGACTTTTGAAATTTGGGCGGGAGATTAGACCTTCAGCTCCATAGCGACCAAACCATTTTGTGACGAGTTTAATGTCAACATGTTTGCGGACATTTTCCATCGTCTTGCCGTACACTGCATTGTTCATAAGCTTAAACAAATTCTTTTCGAACTCATTTTTAGCATTGGTGCGCATCATTGTGTTATAGTCAATGTACGGTTTAAGCCAGGTTGATTGCTTAAATTGCAAGACACGGTGGATTTTCACAATTTTAATATCGTTTGCCACAACTTGTTTTAGCGTTCGATAATGAATAACATATTTTTCTTTAGGCATGAGAGTGGTTAACAATTTCAACTGTTTTGACAATGGAGGTTTCTTATTTTCAGCGCAGAATGGCATGTCTTTATGAGTATCATGAATGTCTTTCGGATACTCCAAATCAACTTCTAGGATGTACCAAACAGGGGAATCGTCAGGTACATGAAAATTAAAAGAGTCGTCAACATTTTGAACCCATTTGAAACCGCCATAAGGGAGCGATTGAGCCATTGCCCAGCCATACAAATTGTTGGCATCGAAGTACATGAGATAGCTTGTATCTTCGTTTTTGTCGAAATTCTCCATATATGGATTATTCGCTTTTGCATAGCGGTTGCAACATTGACTAATGCCACCTCTGATACTAGACTTAACAAACATAATCATATCAATATCGGTTATAAGTTGTAATCCTATACTCGTGTACTTGACCATAGCATCCCAAGTTAAACCGGGGGTCGTATAATAGTGTGCAGGATCTAACTTGTACGCAATTACACATTGTTCGCGGAAGTTTTCAAAGACATCAGCAAGTAACAATACATCTGTTTTCATGTACAAGTGGACATAGTCGTAGAGATTTTGACAATCGAAATCGGACCAAACTTTCTGCGCATGCTCATAATCTTCATCAGAAATACCGGCATCATAAAGAGTACTATAAAATTTTTCTTTCGGAGGCAATTCGGTCTCATCGAGCTTACTTTTTGAGTCGAAATACTCATAGGGGAAAACACCCTTTCGCGTTAATAACTTAATTTTATCCGGATCAGTCACCATACTGGCAAAAACGGCGTTTACAGTTTTATACTCGTCCAAGTAGGATGCGAGTTTTTCTAGGGATGATGCCATGAATCAGAAAGAGTCAATGAATCGAAACTTGACCTCACTCCCCTTGAAATGTTTTGTGAAGGCAATGTACTTCTCTTTGTTAATGGGGAGGAGATCAATTTTACCTTCAAAGCTCGTTGAAATCGCGTAAATTATAAAATGGGCGTCATAGCCACTTAAATTGTGGAACACTACAGGGATCGTTTGACAATCTTGAAAATTTATATTGCAGGACTCATGCGCAGCACCCCTATACTTGCCAGTAAGATGACAATGATCTCGGACTTTTTTATCGCTTGCCGCTATTTTCTGATGACAAATATGACATATTGTCGCTCGCTTAAAATCGCTGATTTCTTGAGGAGTTAATGCAGTCATTGGTATCGGATTTTTAAATACTTCATCAATTTTTTCAGCAATCTGCTTTAACTCACCAGCAAACCATTTAGCTGGATCAGCTTCATGCTTCGGACATGGTACATAAACAGATTGAGATTCGTCGTAGCTACAATTTAAATAATAGCCGATGCTTAATAGCTTATGGCGTTGAAATACTTCAGTCTTACTCAAATTGTTTACATCTTCATCAGCTGGAAGAAGTAAACTTTCACAGTCGGCGTAAATCACATACGGTACTTTCTCTCTATTTTTATAGTTTTTGAACTTGATAATACTGTCTTTCGGCTTCGGTAGCGTAATTTTACACTCATTCACTTTCTTACAATCTTCAATGTGTGCATTAAGTTTTTCTACAGAATAGAAATAGTGTAGACATCTATCACAGATATGCTTTTTACCTTTATGATTTGACAATTGTTTGAATACTAGCGCAGGTAAATTTTTTATCCATACATAATGGAAATTCAAAAAATCACCGCCATCGCATATTACATTTTCTTCAACACTCTCATCCGCATACATATCCGCAACGCATAAGAGATTTACATGTTCATCTCTTTTCTCCACAGTGAGGTGAAGAGGATGTACTGAGAAGTCCCCGTAATATTTTGATAAACCATAGACATTAATCGAAACATCGTTTAATTTTTTAAATTTCGGGACATTTTTTAGTGATACTGGAAAATCTATACCTTGGAAATTCAAGTCATCTTTAAATTCTTTATAACTGGAAACTCGATCACTTCTTACTATATTTGAATGTAAGGCTGAGAGAACCGCCCACTTAAAACATTTATTATCTTCATTTTTCACGTTAATACATGCTTGTTTTCTTTTAATTTGTGGAGGTAGATCAATATATGAGCTTGCACGCAGAGGGTTGTACTTGTTTACATTAATTTCAAGTCTTATAATTGATTGGAGATTCCAATTTGAACCCTTTGCGTGAAACTCTTCCACACTGCGCAAAATCGGCTGCTTGATGCTCTCATTAAACCAATCATCTAAGAGGATTGTGGGGACAATACTTTTAGCCTTAGAACCAAAAGGTATAGGCTTAACGACCTCCTCACCATTCTCAACCCTTTTAAAATGTGTGATGAGAACACTATACACCAAGATGGCGCCATGTTTGTTTAGAGCATCCCTAATGTGATCCTGGAAAAGTGTGGACGCATCGTCCAAAAACGCGCTAGTATCAATATGTACAAGATTCAGGATCGCATTAGTGTACAATCTGCACGCAAAAGCACTCTCACATTCTTCCCATCGAACGCGTTTATTAATGTCTGGATCACCGACTCCAGAGCCATCTACAACATGTGACTCAAACAAAGCGCGAAATCTGATTATGGATTGCAGAATGCTCACACATCTCTGCTTTTGATGTGTAAAATACATCGATTTCAAAATGCTCGACAACAGATTTTCATGTCTCGAGCATTCTGCAATCCATCGTTCAATAAATGATCATCTTGAGTCGACGTCTCCGAGGAGTGACACCAGCTCCAAAGCTTCCTTGATGAGTGGAATCGTGACGTCACACTCATCGAGGATGGTCTTGTAGTTCGGATGCTTACGTGGTCCATCGGTGGTTGTGGCCTTCCGCTTCATCTCTGAAAACACAAGAAACACACTTACAAGCTAAAAAACTTAACCTAAAAGAACACACTTATAAACTAAAATACTTAACCTAGAAAAGAACACACTTAACCTAAGAAATATAAAAAATAAATACAATAAACACAAAAAATATAAAAAAAATACAATAAATATCAAAAAATCAAATAATACAATAAATATTAAAAAAATATCAAAAAAGACAGTTAATAAATGACAAGGGAGACTGCTACTGCTGGAACACCTGCGAACAGAAGAGAGAATGACTAAATTCGCCCGCGATCCCGAATATATACCCAAAATTTCGCGCATGTGCAGACCTATTACCCCCACTCCTACCTTTTACCCTCACTCCTACATTTACCCCCACTCTTACTCATGGTCAATTATAAGGTGCAACGCCAATATAAAAGCCAAAGTTAATATACCTATCGCGCATGCGTAGAATAAATACATACATATTTACAAAAATCACACATTTATTCGAAACGAATTTCAATATTTATGTTAATAATAATTACCCCACACTGCCTAGGGCTGGGAGGTGGTGGAGTCGGCGCCCTTGAAGTCACCACCCTGGCCTCTGGAGCTTCCACCCTGGACCTTGGTGTCTCCACCCTGGCTTCCGACATTTCCACCCTAGCCTCTGGGGTTGGCGACCTTGGAGGACCCCACAGCGGGCGCTGCCAAGGCCTCACGACGGCAACCGGTCGCGCCTGGCCCTCTGGAGTCGGTGCCTGTGGTTGCGCTTGACCCTCTGGAGTTGGTGTCGCCGGACGATACCAAGGATCTCTTGGTGGGGTTCTCGGAGACCCCAGCTCCACAAACGGTGGTGGCGACTCTGGACGGTGCCACGGGTATCGCGGTGGAGTACCTGGAGGCGTCTCCGGGAGTGGCAACTCCAGGTCGGGATTCTGCAACTAAAGAAATTAATAAGCACCTTTTAATTAATATCCTGAACATTAATACTTACGTTGTGCATGGACACCCTCCTCATCGTGCAGTTGTAGCAGTTGCACCAATGCTCCATCGTAGACCGCTCGAGACAGTGCGACGGTTGGAAATGAGCTCTACACCATGGAGCTCAAACACTTATGGACCGCTTTCTCACCATATGCACTAACCCCACCACAGCGTGTGGCGACTGAGTAAAACTACAGCGTTGCAAATACCGCGCGAATTTTGAATTTAAAGTTTTATCATAATTATAAAAATAATTAAAGATGAAAATAAAATAGTGATAAATAAAAGATGAAATATACTTACTTAATAAATCAATTTAATAATAATAATTAAATTTATTAAAGATTGTATTGCAAATAGTAAATTATTAAAAATAAATTTATATTACATAAATTAACATCTTTTTTAATCTTATCCTTATTTAAATAAGAGTTTAAATTAACAAATGTGTTAAAAACCCAATAAAAACACAGTTAAATTAAAAAAATACTTATATTTTAATATCATTTTTCATTTACATGCTTACAAAAAAAATATAAAACATTTTCACATAGACAATTGTGAAACATAAAATATATAAATAGGAAAAATCATAAAACAGTTTACAAAACATAACTAAACATTTTTTTTTTAAAGGAAAAAACTATTGAAAAAACCTACTAAAATTTGAGATCATTTGTTGCTTATAAATAAACAAAAAAAAATAACTTGAGCTCAATGAAAGTTTGAGAAAAAATGAAAACGTAAAAAACTATTAAAATCTCAGATTATTTAATGATCAAACACAATTGAAAAAACTATTAAAATATGAGATTATTAAATGATTAAAAAATAATGAAAACAAAAAAAGGTTTTTTTTAAATGAGAAAAAACAATCGAAAAACCTATTAAAATCTGAGATCATGTCATGAATGATTAAAAATTTAAAATAAAAGTATCAAAGATTAAACTGAAAGAATTTAAGTTTGAAATTGAACATTAGAAAAGAATAGAAAAATATATATAAATGAAAAAAAAACAAAAAATAAAGTAAAATTAGCATTGGCATGCAATAAAAAGAGAAACTAGCATTTTTTCTTCGAGGACGCTGTAGCCAAGACTCTCATAGCCCTGTATAATCGTTGGCGAGTTGTTAGTCTGAGATGACGAGCGGATATTTCTATGGCGCGTCGTGGTGTAGGAACTGGGCGAACACGTGGTGCAGGAACTGGGTGAACACGTGGTGCAGGAACTGGGTGAACACGTGGTGCAGGAACTGGGTGAACACGTGGTGCTGGAACTGGGCGTACACGAGGTGCAGGCACTGGGCGAACAAGAGGTGCGGGCACTAGTTGAATATCTTGTTCGATTGGTGGTTGCACATCTGCTTGAATTTCTCGTTCGACCGGTGGTTGCACTACCGGTTGAATTTCTTGTTCGACCGGTGGTTGCACTTCCGGTTGAATATCTAGTTCGACCGGTGGTATACGTACTGATGTTATGATTCGTGGATGTGTTCTTATGCGAATCCATGGAGCTTGATCTCCATTATTCTCAGCAACAACTGGAATATTTTCCTCTACTGCCTGCTGAGGAATGGCTTCTGGTTGTTGATCCCACCGATTTCTCCTTCTGTTAAAAATCCCTGGCACAGCTGGATTGTATTCCATTCCTCCCATATCAATAAGTCTTGGGTTCCAGTTAATCTGAAAAAAATTGAATAAAATATTAATTTATGACAAGATTTTTAATAAAATAGATTATAAAGAGAGAAATAAACTATTTTTACTAAAAGAGGTTAGATAGATGGAACAACATTAAATATATATATATATATATAATGGTAAAAAATAGGATTTTTAACCACAAAGAAATAGTGAAAATTTAATTAAATTAGGTTTTAACAACAGAGGTTAGATAAAGAAAAATGTTTAATACATACTAAGAAAAGGAAATTTTTAACAAGAAAGAAGCAGTGAAAATTATATCCAAATATGTTTTAATAAAAGAAGTTAGGAATAAAAGTTCAATACCTACTAATAATAGAAGATTTTTGACAAAATTTCTAACAAGAGAGGTTATAGAGAAATAGTTAAAATTTAATTTATTTTTTTTAATAAAAGAGGTTAGGAAAAAAAGTTTAATACATACTAATAATAGAATATTTTTAACAAGATTTCTGCCAAGAAAAGTTACAGAGAAATAGTGAAAATTCAATTGATTTTTTCAATAAAAGAGGTTAGAAAAAAAATTTAATACATACTAATAATAGAATATTTTTCACAAGATTTTTGACAAGAAAAGTTACAGAGAAATAGTGAAAATTCAATTGATTTTTTCAATAAAAGAGGTTAGAAAAAAAAAGTTTAATACATACTAATAATAGAGTACTTTTAACAAGATTTTTGTCAAGAAAAGTTACAGAGAAATAGTCAAATATACATTGGTAAAAGAAGATTTTTGACAAAATTTCTGACTAGGATTTATAAAGAGTGAGGATCAATGAAAATCAATATTTACATTACCTGCCGTCTGTATCTCCTTTGTAATTGTCTGAAACGACAATTAATCTGCACACACCTACAAAGTGCGATTATATTTGGATTCTGTAAAAAGTGTTTTATTAATTTGTTATTAATGGCTTTATTAAAAGGTGATTTTAATAAACAAATATTAATTACCATTGTTGAACACGTTCTTTCTAGTTTCGATGTTTTTAACGTTTGCGTGAAAGGTTGTGTTAGGTGTTAACATGGTGGCTCAGGGGCGGCACAATTAAAATGTATCCCACATGTTTCACTATTTTCATAATTTTGATTTAAAAACACTGTTTATTATTTACTATAAAACAAATACATTAAGATAAGATTGAATTCACTATAATCTTATAATTTTACTTTTATAAACATATGAAATAATAAATTTAAAACGTTAAAGAATTTGGAACTTAAAAATTCCCGCCACGCATAAAATTGAATGGAAATCAGGGAAGTACAAACATGAATTTCTTAAATAAATTTAACAAAATATTTATTAAATATTAAATTTATTAATGGTATAAGACTGATTATTAATTCTAATTCAAAATGTTAAAAAGGATATATTTTTCTTATAAATTTCAGTGTAAAAAATAATTAATTTTTCTCTATAAGAATTGAACAATCCAAAAATTTGAAATTCTCTCAGGGCTGGCACAAAAATCGCAAGTAAAAGCAACGCGAATTTCAATTTGAGTATGCTTTTTTATAGTTGAGAATAAATTAATATTTTAATAAGTTATAATAATTATTATTTACCTTAATAAATATTTTTATATAATAACTAAAATATAATTATATGATATATCAAATTATAGTAAACAAGTAGATGAAATAATAATTAGTTATAGATAATTATGAATTAAATATTATATTAATTAAACTTAACATAACTAATTTATATTTAAACAATTAATAATTAGTTGATAAAACTTACTTACCTTACAGCGTCATCTGTTTGATTGATTAAAAATATTCAATTTACCATTTATAGGTGGCGCTATTTTATATGTTGGTAAACATATTGTACTTATTAATTATGTTTAATAATTTATAGATGGCGCTATCTTATGTGTCAGTAAAACAGATTTAACTAACATTACGTGGTTCTATATATTAAAATAATAAAACACAGTGAACTTATAAATAATATTAAGTGGCGCCATCTGTTGGGTGTCCGCTCAACTAATTCGGTCGGTAAAACAAAATGGCGGCCAAGCCAATTTAAATTGTGAATTAAATTTTTAAATATCCCGCCAAGCAGATTTGAATTCACTAGTGACGCCATCTATTGGGTGGCTAGTAAACTAACTCGGTCGGTAAAACAGATTCCTACCTTACCAACTGGGTTTGAATTCGACCAGCTGCTGATAATGTAGAAATCTACCTTACCGACTGGGGGTAACTTAGCCGAGATCAGAACCTGTCCCCGTACCCCCATAGCTATACCACTGTGACAATCATTGCACTGAATCCAGTCTTCTATAAGCGCTCTCTGTTTGTCTGTCTCACCAACACAACAAGTCTACAAGGTATTTTCTTGAGATATCAGAGTGGTTTCCAATTTATTTTTGTGTCCTGAACACGATCCCGGGTTACAAAAATTGCGTATCACGTCAGGATTTTGAGTAAAGTGGGGGTAAAGTCTCCAAAACCCGTGTTTTTGAAGGTTTTCAGTATTTTTTTTCTCCTTAACCTGACGTGATAGAGACTTGTATATAGGCTTAAATTAAAGCTTATATCTTACACTTTAAGACTCATAAGCGTAAGGAAAAAAAATTTGAAATTTTGAAAAAAATTAGGTTCAAGTCACCTAAAAAAATTTTTGGGGTATTTACCCCCATTTTTTCAAAATTTCAAATTTTTTTTAATCCTGCTTAAAGAGTCTTAAAGTGTACGATCTAAGCTTTAATTTAAGCATATATAGAAGTGTCTGGTAAAAGAATAAAAAAATAATGAAAACCCTCAAAAACACTGTTTTTGGGGACTTTACCTCCACTTTATTCAAAATCCTGATGTGACACTCAATTTTGGAATCCGGAATCGGGTTCAGTACACAAAAATACATTGGAAACCTTTCCGCTATATATATAAAAAAGTGTTATTTTGTAGACCTGTGTTATGATTGTTTATAAACGTTTTTAAGATTTAATTACACAATAGTGATTATTTTATTTGCTCATATTTAAATTTGAAAATCTTTGTTGGAGTGTCTTGTTGTAATATATGTCATAAAAAATGTCATTTGCCACAGAATTAATGTTTTTTTTTAGCGAAAACACGAATCTCAAGGGTGCCAATAACTCAAACAGTATGGCCATCTCACCTCGAAAAAACATGGTCATCTCTCCTGTCAGGAGACAAATTGACAAAACTAAAATTTAAATAAATAAATACTTTTTTTGAATAAATATAAAGTTATGACAAAGCTTGGGTCATGTACTTTACAAAAAAACATGAAATTCAAAATTATTCTATAAAATAACATAACACCAGTGAGAAAAGTAAACTCATCACTTTTTTCCGAACTAGTAAAAACAACAAATCAGAT